AGCCACTATGCTACCAGAGCTTATTCAACAAATATTTATTTGAGTGTCTCTTTTGTAGTAAGCAGCAGTGGAGAAAATAGCTCAAATCCGTCTGATGAAAGGAGAAAAACTGTACAGTCAACAGACAGTATCTGACACTGCTCAGTGCTCCAGAGAGAAGCACAGCAGGGCACTTGCAGGCAGAGATTTCAAGCTGAGGTGTTCTAAGAAGGTAGTAACTGGAGAAAGACCTCAGGAGATCAGGGAAATTACTGGGAGAAGAGTAGTCCAGCTAGGGAGACCAGCAAGTGCTGAGAGCCTGAGGCAGAAACAAGCCTGGCCGGAGAAAAACCACCGGGAAGCGCAGGAGTAGAGCGAGTGGAGTAAGCAGAGCCTGGGGGGCAGGGGACACAGCGCAGGCCGGGCAGGCCACGGTCTTGGCATCCTGTGCTACTGAGGGAAGAGGCAGTGTGGGAACCGAGCGGCCACGCGTCTGACGTGTCATTCTCACAGGAACACTCTGCTGAGAATAAACCGAGGGGCAGAAGAGCAGAGCAGGGAAGGCTGCTGTGATACCGCAGGTGAGAAAGCACACCACCTGGAGACAGTGGGGAAGTGAACGGCAGACTCGGGAGACATCCTGCAGGGGCAGCAGAAAGGATCAGGGGAGATGGGGGGAGAGCGAGAGAGGTCGTGCGGACGCCCAGACTGACGGCTCCAGGGGAACCGCATCAGGAGACAGTGATCAGAAGAGCAGATGGGGCTCCACGAAGGGGCTTCTCAGAACAAGGAGCTGAAGGCCAGGGCTAGAGACTCAAGGAAGCTGCAGAAAGTTGGAGGCTGCAGCACTAGGAAACTGAGGGACACGCAAAGGATAAAAGCAAAAAGGTGGACAGGAAGCCATGAGGCTACAGTGAAATTCAAAACATGAACTTGTATAAAACTAAACAGTACCCTGGACTTTCATCTTTGTTTAATTTCTTCAACAAAGCTTGACAGCCTGGAAACAGAACAGGCAAACAGAAAGACGCGCTGGCAGAGAGAAATACAGGAGATGAAGGCCGGCAGACATTATGAAAATGGCACAGAGGATATTTTTTAAAAAGCCGACTGTGGCAACCAGGCTGAGTAGGAGTGAGGGAACCCAGTCTGGGCTCCTGGTCTGAGGGACTCGGGGGCTCTGAGATGACAGCAGGCTCACTGCTTACTCAAAATAAGGAAACACAGGCATGAAAAAGAACCAGAGGGCAGGGCCAGGAAAGCGCATGTCAACTCTGAGGATACTGACTGCAGGACCGAGACGGCTGGAGCTGCGGCTCTGGAGCCAGATAAGGGCCCTGCCGGAGAGCTCAGGGCTGCACATGCAGGGCAGGGAAGAGAACGCGAGCTGCACACCAGAGAGCTTCTAGGGGACACAAGAAACAAAACGGCGAGGAGGGAAGCGCGGGAGGGAGGACAGAGAGCAGAAGAATCCAAAGCAAAGGGCCATCCTGACCTCACTCCAAGTCCAGGTCAGCTGGGGGAACGGGCTCAAAGGAAGACGACCCAAATGCACCATGACCAACATGCCACATCCGGACCCAACAATTACATCAATTCCTGCAACAGACAGCCTGCGACCACACTCCCTTCCTCAGCTGGCCTTGGCCTCCATTTCTTTTCTTCCACTACACATCAACTCAGTTTGCAAAGATTCTGTGACAATTATTACGCTCTAAGAGAGTATCAATGAGAACAGACTTTTTCAGTCCTGTGTGTCCCCACCGAGACTGGTGATGCACACAGGTCCAGTCAACTCTTCAGAGGACTTAGGTTCTCCTCCTCTGTACAGGTAACCAAGAGGGCAGAGTCGAGGCAGGGCTTCTCAACCTCAGGCACCTAAAATTGGGGGGAAACCCCCCCCGGGGGGAAGCCGGCCCAAAAAACAAAACAAGGTTGGCAGCATCTCTGACCCTGACCCACTCACTACAGGCCAGCAGCATCCTCCCAGTCATGACAATCAAAAATGTCTCCAGACATTGCCAAATGTCTCTTTGAGGGGCAAAACCACCACTCATTGAGAACGACTACTCTAAGGGTCACAAACCTTGCGGAAAGGGGGACAGACCACATAGGACTGCCTGTAGCTTTAATGTAATTAACCATGAGGCAATGGAGAAGACAATGGGAGTGAGAGAGAGAGTAAGGGCTTCATCCTCAGCACACAGGACGCCTACCAGAAAAGCTTCCCGGCCTGCGCCTCTCCGCCCCGTATGTAGTGCGTGATTTCTTTGGTGAAATTCCACTCTTCTTCTAACAGATTTTTTAAACTATGGGATGCTTGAGGTAACTGCTGTAGCATTTGGATCCAGCTTCTCATGTAATCAAAATAGACCTGAAATACAAAAATGTAAAAGGAGATCACAGAGCAGAAGTCAGTAACTCAAACTGCCCCCCATGTTCCCATGACAGCTCCACGTCATAGGGAAAGACTGTTAAAAAGCATGCAACCCTGAGAAGCAAATTCTTCGCTGCTATTAGCTGATGGTCACATGAGCACATGTTAAATTACAGGACTCCTCCGGAACTTGCGAACTCTGGAGGCACAGTGCCTAAGGCATTTGACTGCTAACCAGAAGACTGGTGGTTCAAACTTCCTAGGCACTCCTTGGAAGGAAGGTTGGGCAATCTACTTCCAGGGAGATACTGCCTCAGAAACCCAAAGAGGGGTCGCTATGAGTTGCAATGGACTTGACAGCAGCGAGTTTGGTTTTTATTTCTTTCTCAGCAACTTAATACATTGTTCACAAATCCTTTGGATTCTGAAGCAAATAACTTAGTAATCACAATGTACAGAAAAGTACCACTTAAAATTTAAAAAGGCATCACAATAATGTTGTTGTCGCTAGGTGCCGCTGTGACGTTTCAACTCACAGTGACCCTATGCACAGCAGAATGAAACACCTTCCGGTCCTGCGCCAGCAATAATACTGTATTATTATTACAATAACAGCACCCAGAAATAGTCATTATTAATACACTGAGCATTATTTCTTCACGAGGTTGGAATCATTACTTGTTCAAGTTACATGTGTTAACATTAGACAGTATATTATGTGCTGACAGAGGAAATGAAACACTTCTTCCTACCTCCTACACATACAGATTTCTGTGACATAATTTTTATATTATTTTATTATATAATAAACTTATTTATATAATAAGATTATGATGTAAAATATACCATAATATATTTACATGTATTAATTATAATTATTACATTATAAGGTGTATGATCTATAAACAAAATACCCAATCGTTCTGAAGTGGGTTCTGTGCCCACCGTAAGGTTACAACCGCTTTCCCGGTCCTGTTTCTTATTTTCATTTCTCTGTTGCTTAGAACATTTTAACACCTAGGAGTTGTTAGGTTTTTTTGTTTTTTTTTTAAATGAACAGGTTTTATAATTGCTGTATCACCAAGAAATGGGGGGAAGGGAACAACCAGTAACTATCTATGAACTTCTACTTAAAGGATAACATGACAGGGTATAAAATGTGTGACTCCCACGTTCTCTCCCTAAGAACTTCTGAGACATCACTCCACTGGGAAGGCAGCCAGCTCTCCAGTCTCTCCTCCATGTTCAGGGGATCCTGTCACTGTTCCAGATGTCAGTTACTTCATCAGCTACATGTTCACTGTTAGGAATGAACCATTTCTGATATCCAGTAATAACTACCAATACATAATTTTGAATCTTTTCAGGAACATTTTCTTCTGGGTCCTCCATCTCTAGGTTGGGCAGTGTGAACCCATGGTCCTAGGCCCATTATGAACTTAGCTGTGTGTGGGGAGCCAATGATCATTGGGTCCGTGTTACCCAAATGATACAAGTCTCTTAAATACCAGGCCCAGGGCCTCCCTCCTATGTCTTCCATTGTTCCCCCATCTCCTTGACTTCTCTGAAAGCTGGCCTTCTGCTGTTACTACTACTCCCTCACAGTCTTCTCCAGGGACAACTGTGGCTCTTACTGTATACCCAACATCTGTGAATGGCCAGTACAGTCTTGCTCCCTGCTGCCAGTTTCAACCATTACATTTATACATTCTTAAGAAACACAACCAAACCAACCATCTTTCAGATCTATGTTACCACATGGATCACTGTCCCCCTTTATACCATCATCTGCTGACTTGGTCAGACTCTGGCACCTGACTTACAGGCTTCTCTTCTCCCAGGTTCAGTCATCATGCTGTGGACCTTCATATCCATGGCCGACCCATCATAGGCCATGTCACTTGAGTCCCTGGACTGTCTTCATTTCCAACACTTCTGCCCAAGTTTCACGTTGGATCGTATCACTCTAACTCCTTCAACTCCAAAATCACCAATTCAAATGCCCTGATGCTAAACCCTCTCTTCCTGCTTCCAGCATATTTGTTCAACTGCTACCACAACAGTTCTCTTAACTTTGTGTGGCTTTCCACTCCAAAGGTTTATTTACTTCTCACGTCTCCTACTCTTCCTTTTTTCCATTTCCTTCATACTCAGTTTAGATTCTATGGGTTTATCAGTTCTACAGAGGGACGGCCCTCAATGAGATGGACTGACACAGTGGCAGGAACAATGGGCTCAGGTATAGCAGAGATTGTGAGGCTGACACAGGATGGGGCAGTGTTTTTTGTTCAATTGTACACAGGGTCACTATGAGCTGGAGCCAACTTGATGACACATAACAATAACAACAGCAGCGGCGGCAGCATCCTTATCTTATGCTAAATCACCCCATCACCATGCTGTACTCTGCCACCCTCACTGCCTTTTCACCTCAGCTGTCAGTGAAAACCCCGAAGCCAGATAAGCCCAACTATCCCACTCACCGCACCCACACTCAAGAAGCTGCGGGTCACAAGTAAGTCACATGACAGGGAGACATGGCTATGCTACACCATCATAACCACCAATCCCATGGCTGCTGAATTTCTGCTCTCAGCCTCTTCAATTTAAAAACTCTAATGCACCATTGAGTCGGGTCTGACTCGACGACACATAACAACAACAACAACAACAACAACAACAACAACAAATGCACCATCATCTTCACCACTCATCTAGCTGCACAAGTCAAACACCCAACAGTCACTCCAAATACCTCCCTCTCTAATCACTGAGTCTAGCCAATCTCATCTTCTAAATTTGTTCTGAATCCTGACATTTTCCTCTAACATATGACCTATCACTCTAGTCCAAGGCCCCTCCGTGCACTACGGAAACAGCATCTCATGGGTCTCTCACATCTGTTGCTCACACTGTAGCAAGAACGAACCCTTCAAAAACCTTTCATTGGGACTTTCATTCTGGCCATGCCCCTTCCCAGCCTAGCAGTATGTGTCAGAACAATGCAGCACTAATACAGTCACGCTCTCCTGCAGTCCTCTCCACGGTCCTCTCTTCCCTCCCTCCCCAGAGGCAACCATTATGAGTTTAATATGCAACCTTCAAGTTTTAAGAGAATCTGTTATTATATAAATTACAATACATAGTATACTATTATTTGGGGCAAGTTTCAAAATTTTACATAAACTGGATCATAACATACATATCAACCTTCACATAAACGCCAATGCCCCTTCCTCAAAGAAGCTATCCCTAAGCTCCACATGAGCTGAAAGCTCACCGGGTGTCTATAAAGGCTGGGCCTCTCTGTCGTGTTCTTCACAGCTGAGGTTGTATGTCTGTATGATTACTTCATTAACAGCCATCTTCCCGCTACTCTTAGACCCCATACGTGCGTGAGGCTCACCGTGGAATCCTCAGCACCTGTATGGTACCTGGCACAGAGCAGGTCCTCAGGAACCTGCGTGACAGAAAGCTGTTTCCATCTGCTGGTTGTTCCTTCTTTCCGACAGGAGCACTGGTTACACATATGCCCACTCCGCCCTCCATGTGGCTTCACCACCACCATGGCTGACAAGACCCACTTTCATAGTCTCATTCTTTTGAAAAGCTTTAGGTGGTTTCCTGAAGTCTGTCTGCCACGTGTTCCCACATTATATAGTATGTTTATCGTTCAGCTTATTTGGAGGCTGAAAGCAGGAAAACGGGCTGAGATAGCTCCCAGCTTCAGCTACGTTTCCTGCCTCAGCTGCTCGCCATGTCTGTTCCTTCCTCTATACTGTGGGCATACAGGTCTGAGATTTTTGAAAACAGAAGGATGATAAACATAGTACACGATCCCTTACTCATAGTCTTTCTGCATCATAACTTACCCATCATTGCATCTTCTCCCTCTACCGGTACTCTCACCCAGCAGTCTTCCTGGCTAGTAGCTTAGACTGCAGACAATAAAAATGTCTCTACTTATAGCCCTTCTGCCCTGCAGCTGTGTAGCTCCAACAGGATGTCTGCGGAACTCTCCTGACACCACAGCTGGACTCACTGCTGCTGGCCCACCGGTCTAATGGGTGCGTGGAGAGCTGTGCCCATCCACACTGCAGTCTCACCTTCAAGGCAAATGGCTGCCATGGTTTTATTGCTTGGGGCCTCACTGGTACAATGAGTTTCTTCAGTCTCCATTGCTTCTGCTGCTTTCAGTGGGCTCCACGGGAAGGGTATGGTGGTGAACCTAACGGGACTGCCTGCTTCTAGGCCACTGACCTCCTTCCTACCGAACCACTGACTTTGTTTGACTATTCCCAGTCCTCAAAACAGGCCCTGCCCTGGTCCTTCTAGGGCACAATGGGGCAGGATTTTAAAACCATGGGTAATCCCTGCTGTCTGCATCTGTGAGATCACAGAGATGACACCGAGGGAGACCATCTTATGCAGCTCATCGGGAGCACAGCCAAGCTGCATTCAAAGCACCTTCAACACTGACAAGCTGTGGCTTTTGGTAACTCGCACCACCTCACTTCAGGACGCCCACAGGCACAGCGAGGGCACTGAACAGCATGACCACAAGGGCCTTTCACCTGCCTGATTCCACTCCTGGACACCTCGGCCATGGCACAGGAAGAGCTGCTGCACGGGCCCCTCTAAGCCCGTCTGTCAACAGTTGGCAGAGGAAAACCATCTTAGCTTGTCTCTCCACACCTCCAGTTTAATCATCCATCAAGTGAGAGAGAAAACACTTGTTCACTGTTTTCTACCCTAACTTTTCCATGACAAAGATTTTCATGACATAATGTACATTTCACCCACTCTGGTGCTCTAGGCTCCCTCCCCTAAATAATTATGAAATAACTTCAAGCTCGCTAACATGACTTCTCCAACATGCTGGCTGTCAGAAGCCCCACTCTGTCACATCCTTCCTGCTCTAGCTTCACTCTAGCGGCCAGAATGGGAAACATGTGTGCTCTCAGCCTCCACCACAGCTCCAGCAGAGGCCAAGAAGCGGGCTGCAGAGTCTGCTGCTGGGGCCTGCAGGGGCACTCTGGCTGCCTGTAGCTGGGCTGGTAAGGTCCTCTTCCCCATCGCCCTTCCCCTTTCTTCCAGCCTAGAAGGTGGGGGGCGAAGAGGAGGAAGGCAGGGGATGGCATCTGAAAGGGCCACAGTCTCTGTGGGGCAGGGGACCACGGAGATGACCAACAAGGATGAACGCATTCCCAAAGCAAACACCTGTGCGTGCTGTGGTTTCTGTATCATTCCCTCAACCTGCCCTATTAGGTAACCACACACACTGATGAATCTGCTCACAAGTATTTACTGCACAGTAACACTTGACCAGATCTTGTGAAAGACAGAAGAATTTCTAAACCTCACCTCTGGCTCGTGAAGCCTCAATCTAATTAGGGAAGCCTGAGGACAAATCAGTGGCCTGTCATTAAGTGTTATATCTGAGTTCTAACTGCTATGAGAGAAAGGACAGGCAAACATCAACTAAGCTTTTAAAAAGTAAAATAAAGCTTCCTACAGGAAAAGAAAATTTGAAAGAAGTCCTCAGTGGACAGAGGAAGAGAAAAGAGGACATTCCCAGCAGGAAAGAACAGTGAGATTCTGCACAAGTACAGACGCTGGGAAGCACAGGAAATGGACACAGCCAGAGAAAAGACAAGCAAGCCTCTGCTCAGGGAGAGATCCTGCTAAATTGAGCTATTCCTGACTCTTAGAAGGTGCCGGGCCCCTCAGTGAACTTCTAGCTTGTTCCCTGCGATCCAGCTTCCTCCTGGGAAGAACTTCCGCACTGTCCCAGGCTAGCTCGGGTCTCCCTGGTAACCCACACTCCGCGGTCAGATTGTGCACCACGCTGGACGAGGAGCCACTCTCGCGCACCACTGAATTCTCAGAGCCCTGCAAAGTCCCTAGAACATCCCAGGTATTCAAAACATGGCCCTCAAGAGATGACCAGATAAAATGGGCCGGATTACGAGTCCACTCTAAGTCGTTCTGTTCTAGGACAGACAACTGCATAGTTAACAACCAACTACAGTAAGATGGCTCAACATTCCTAATTTAAAAACAACGGGATAAAAAATACCGTGGACTTAGGAAAATCAAGTTTAGTCTAATCCTGGATGAGAAGAAGCAGATGACAGACACCCCCGCCGGGCCCGAACCCGCGCACACAGGGAACCGTGCTCCCCTCACCATCAGCATCTTGTGCAGGTCCTCCTCGAAGGCGTCCATGTTGCAGTCCGTCTGCCCCAGGCCGTCCAGCAGCTCGCGCAGCATGAACTGGTAGTACTGCTTCATGAGGAGGCCGCCCTTGAGGACCTCCTTACACTCTCTCACCAGCTGCGGACAACAAGGACAAGGTCTGTCATCTCCCACCTCGGCACGTCGCAGGGCAATTCTGCCACCTCCTTCCTCGAGACCATCAGGGAAGCCTGCCTCTGAAACCCTGAAGTGTTTTCCAGATTCTTTACCAGTTCACTTCATAGGAATGTCTCCGTGGTCTCAAGGGAGTAAGAAAAAAGCAGCGAAAATAAAAACATTTCATATTTTAGCATCACTACAGGGAGCTCTGGTAGCATAGTGGCTAAAGCACTTGACTGCTAACCAGAAGGCTGGCGGTTCAAACCCACCAGCCACTCCTCGGAAGGAAGGTTGGGCAATCCTACTTCCGTAGTGATACTGCCTCGGAAACCCAAGGAGGGGTCGCTATGAGTCGGGGCCGACTCGACGGCACATAACAACAACAACAACAACAGAAAAAACATCATATGGGCAACCACTGGTTTGCTACCATATATTCTAGGTATAAATTTACAGGGAAAATAAATTTCTTCAAATCAAATCTGCTTTTCTACTAATTTATATTATAAGATGAAATACTACAGGAAAACATCCTAATGAAACTGGCTATTTTCTTTTAATAAAAAATGTAATAAAACGAATATTTAAATATACTTACACACCACAGAGTACGGCTGACTTTGTAATAATTTAGCATAGTTCACCCATTGTGATTTGGGGTTTCTACCTCAATAAAACTCCAATAATAAGAAAAAAAGTGCAATTTAAAAAATGATGCATTAACACACCAAAATTAAAATAAAATAATTAACCTGATGAAATTAAATGAAAGCCAGGGAACAAAACAAAATGAAGGACAAAACAGCAGTATATAGGCCAGGATGTAAGGTTGCAAAGGAAAGGAGGCCAAAAGCAGACTGCCTGCGAGGTGTCCATCAGTCACATTTGGAGATACCATTCCCTTAAAACTCGTACCCTGGGTAGGAGATGATACTGTTACATTAGGGTTTTCTTGTGTATAATCTGGTGAAAGTTCACAGAGCAAATTTATTTTCCACACAGCAGTTCTTTCACATTTTGTTTCATGACATTGATTGTAATCCCCATAATGTAACAGCTCTCTTCCCACATCCTCCCTGTGGTTACCTTTTCCCTGTGTCCTTCTTGTTAAATTAAAGTACAACAGTCAAAACACAAAAGGACCTCAACAACTGTTGTTGAGAAAGTAAACTGGTACAAACTTTCTTTAAAAATATAAAAATGTACGACTCATTTACTTTCATGATTTTATAGTCAACATACGATCAGAGATGCAGATGAGGATTTATACATACAATGAAACCTGCAACAGTTGGAACCTGTGGAAGGCAGACACTGATAGAGGAAGGAAACAGAAACACTTTCCAGCGATAGAGACAGAATAGTGGTAAGAGTGCATGCATCCGTCCAAGGCAGAAAACTTGTGAGACCCGAGTAACAAAGCAGTCTTGTCAAGTTGCAGCTCTCACAGGTTTACCAGACACCTATTTACCACTACTATTTAAAACAACCAAACCACACCCATGGCCATGCAGTCGATTCCAACTCAGAGCAAGCCCCGTAGGACAGAGTAGAACTGCCTCCTCGGGTTTCCAAAGCTGCCTCAGCAGGTTTCGTTATGGAAGCAGAACACCACACCTTTCTCCAAAGAGCAGCTGTGGGTTCAGACGGCTGAGCAGCCAGTCTTCACACGTAGCCGGGCGCTCAGCCACCGTGCCACAACCTGGACGCACGCCTCCACACTGTGTTCCGACTGCACAAACATTTCTGTATCAAAGATGTCACTCAGGTATTTATTAACTCAATCGATGAATGAATTCAAGCGCAAGTTTCCATTCTGCTTCTACTCTTAGTTATGCTACATTAATCTATGTATTTTTTTTTTCAAAATGTCGTTAACACAAATTACTATTTAATCCTCACAATACACCCATCAGGCAAAAAATAAACTCTGTCTTGTTTTACCAGTTACATTCCTGAAGTATTGGTTCTGTGGGAAAAGGAATAGTAAGTATCTCTCTAACTACTATGCCCTATAACAGCTGTGGTGTGGATGACACGTGAAAAGCATGGTCAGAGTGGCAGGTGGGCTAAGAACCAGGACCAGGCAGTGAAAGGGAAGTAGAGCTGAAGAGAAAACAGAGGTCTGGTCAGTGCCCAGTGGGGACCGAAATGACCGATGAGGTAAGGGACCCCGTTCCACGTGACCTCCATTAATCACCCTATTCTATTCTAACGAACCCCTCCTCCCAATAAAATCCTACTTTATACTTGTGTTATGATCTATGTGCCCCATCACTCCTCCATCTCTACCCCCACGGATGTCCTTCTCAGATGCAAGCCGCCCCAAGCCCTAGAGGATGGGCAGACATTCTACAAACAACATACCAACATGACTTCATAAAAAGTCAGAAAACTGTATTACAGGCTGTAAATGCCAGTAAGACAACATCACAAAGCATAAATACAGACCCTGTCACTGCAGTTCCCCTTGCAGGATCAAACTCCCTAAAAAGATCCCTTCCAGAACTAAAAACAACTAAGAAATCAGAAGCTGGCACTCCTGCTCACACCACACCACTGCTTCAGCAAGCAGGAATCCCACACGCTGCCTCTGTGTATGCTGAAGACACAGTGCTGCTTACACGGAACTCAAACAGGACAGAAAACAAAACCAGAAGAAACGTGAACCGCATCCTCTTATGAGTGAAACCCAAGTTCGTACTCATAGACTGGTATTCCCAGCACATGGAAGGGCCTCTATTATATCCTGTCAGAAGAAAGCAGATGACAGAAAGCCTGGCTGGTAGCTTACCTCTGAGGCTACACGTGACGAGTTTCCAGTACCTGAGAAGGAAAAGCTTGGACACCCTGCCCTACACCCATTTGTCACTATTTGCAAACATTCGAAAAACAAATCCTCAAAGTAAAATGTATCAGCCCGCGGGATGACGCAATAATCACTACAACCGCCACGCAGCCTGAGACCCACCTGCTTGATGCTCAGGAGGGATGGCTCCCCAGCGGGCCTCTGCTCCAATCTCAGCTTCAGACACTCGTGGATGACGTGGAGGAGCACGCGGCACAGGACTAAGAAGGCAGGTTCAAACGACGGCAGGTCCATGGAGCGGAGCTCCTCCCAGGAGACAGCGCTGCCCTTCTGCTCCCGGGAGGCAGGGGTGCTGGACAGCTGCACGTAATCCGAGCCCCACATGGGGTCTGGGAATTCTGAAAACTTGCACCAAAGTTACAGACAGATAGGGTGAGAATGCAGGAGGCCGGCCCAGGGTGGTGCTTTCAAACTATCAGTATCTACAGTTTGCTGACAAAACTATGAAACTACCGTTTTACAGGAAAAGAGATCATCTTTACAGTAATTCAACATTTTCAATACAGACCCAAAAAGTTTTAAGAGTGTTAGAAAACCTTAATAAGAAATCAAATTGCAATATTTTATCAAAAAGTATATTATGAAATAGATCGAGTCAATCTCTAATATTTTTCACAATTAATTTACTATAAAATACGTGATAATTAAAATGATCACAACATTTTTACAGTTACATGCAGTATTAGCCACATCTCCAGACTGAGAAAACCACAGAATTATTCAAATTTGAGAGGAGATTACAGAATCCAGTCACAGCACACCCTCAACCCATTCTTTTATCCATCTGCTCTCCTCAGATCACGGATGAGGCTGATAAAATCCATCAATCAGTCAATCACAAAACTGAGCCGACTGGCACCCCTCAGGGCTCTGTGATCCCATGCTTCTGCGAATCCTGGTGTTGCTCACCATTCTCTCAGTTACCTTCGTTACAGGCTGATCTCCTTCCCACAAAGCAGGGACGCTAACCCTTTCCCATTGTTAAACCTTCCAGCAGCACCACCCTCGATCCCATTCAAAGGCTTCATCTCCTTTTACTAAGAGGCCATCAAAACTTGAAAACCTCAACTGCCTTTCAACTTAAAGTATCACCAATTATAGCTGTTCTTCTTCCTAATGCCACTCGTACCTACCCTCCCTAACATTTAGTGAAATTTTGGAGAAAAGATTGACGTTGTCAAAGATTTCGTATTACCTGGTTCCATAATCACCATCCTTGGAAGTAGCAGTGAAGACATCGAGGACATATTGCACTGGGCAAATGTGTTCCAAAAGACCTCTTTCGAGTGCTGAAGAGCAAAGATGTCTCTGTGAAGACTAAGGTGTGCCTAACCCAAGCCATGGTATTTTCAATCACCTCATATGCATTTGAGAGCTGGATAATGAACAAGGAGAACCAAAGAAGAGGTGATGCTTTTGGGTTGTGGTGTTGGTAAAGAATACTGAAAGTACCGTGCACTGCCAAAAAGAACTAACAACTCTGTCCTGGAATGGGTGCAGCCCGAAGGCTCCTTAGAAGCGAGAAGGGGTAGACTTTGTCTTACCTATGTTGGTCATGTTGTCAGAGGGATCATTGCTTGGAGAAGGATATCATGGTTGGTAAAGTGGAGGGTCCAAGGAAAAGGGGAAGACCCTCAATGAGATGGACTGACACAGCGGCTGCAACGATGGGCTCAGGAATGGCAAGGACTGAGGCTGGCACAGGACCAGGCAGCGTTTCATTCTGTTGCACACGGGGTCGCTATGCATCAGAGCCGACTCAACGGCACGGAACAACTACTAACGGATCCTCCTGCTCCTACCCTCACCTTCTCCAATGTGCTCTTCACACAGGAGCCCGGGATCATTTCACAACACAATGACCGTGCCGGGGAAGCCCTTGGAGGGGCTCCTGGAGACTGGGAAGACATAATTCAAATCTCGGCCTCTGAGGGTCGCCCCAGTCCACCCAACGTCCAGAACGTCCATGGCAGCACGGCCCTCGCCCACCCCACCTGCCCAGGCGCACCGGCCCCTCAGCATCAGCACCACTAGTGCTGCCTGCGTCTCCCCTCAGCTCTGCCACTCACTTCCTGTGAGCCTTTCCCGGCTCACCTTCCCCTCTAGCAATTCCTCACCAGCGCACCCCACTCCTTGCATCCACACTTTGCAAGCACTTGTTTGTGGAGAGCTTCATGAGGGCAGGGGCTTCAACTGTCTCACCACTATTTTCTGATGACATCTCATGCCTGCCATTTAGTACAGGCTGTCAGTGAATGTGTGCTGAATGAACTAACCAACAATACCACCTCTGAAACTGTCAAGGACTCCCCCCACCTGCCCATTTACAAAGTAAAATCCAAAGAACTCTGCTGCACATCCAGACCCTCCAGGGTCACTTCTAACTCTCCTGAGCGACCTCTTCAACCGTGACATTCCTCCCCATGACACCTCCAGCTTCACAGGCCCTAGGTACACACCCCTCCTGAACTCCTGTGCTCAGGCTCACGCCAGTTCCTCATCTGGGCCTGCTCCTCTCCTCACTCCTCAAATCCCATCTTACTCTCCAAGGCCCACATCGTGATGGCTGTCTGATGACTCTGTCCTGCCCCATAGCACGCTGAATACAACTCTCTCCACCCTGAGTTCACTCCGATTTTCCTGACAGTTAGACATGGCATGCTTCAATAAGAAAAGAAATCAAGGACCCCACATCAGTAAACCTGGTTTCAAGTTTGCTATGATTCTGGAAACATTACTTAGCCTCTCAGGTTTGATTTCTCCATTTTAAAAATAAGGCAGCCTCTAACCATACTGTTACTATAAAGATTAAATGAATGAGTATGTGAAAAAAGTGCTTTGAAAACATTACCTGTTTGGATAATTACTGCCATTGACATATCCGTCTGTCTCCTGGTCATTTGTTGGTTTAGAGCAAGTGCCAGTGACCTCATCTTGGGTCGCACGTGTGCCAAGCCCACTTCGGGGATCTGCAGAGGCCTGGGCCGCACGCAGGGCCCTGCTCTGACGGCTCCATGGGCTGTGCGGTGCTTCCCATCTCCAGCCAACGGGGGTGGGGGTGGGGGTGCATCAACACCGCACGCAGAGACAGTTCACCAGCCCTCATCAGTTGTGTCTCCCAAAGATTTTGCAAATCCATTTTTGTACTTTACACCTTATCTAAGAGCCCTGGTGGCACACTGGTTAAGTGCTCAACTGCCAACCAAGAGGTCAGCAGTTCAAACTTATCAGCTACTCCGTGGAAGAAAGATGTGGCAATCTGCTTCCGTAAACATGACAGCCTATGAGGTACTACTCTGCCCTGTAAGGTCACTGTAAGCCGAAATTGAGTCAAGAACAATGAGTAGATAGTATACATTACCTGCTTTAACACACACTGCCTTTTCACAATTCCAGCACTTAATCTCTTGACCTGGTGACGCCTCCCAAGGTGATTTTGTTCTGAAAGCGGTGACTTACCCATTCTTCTGTTTTAGGGTACTTTACTGGCACCACAAGTATTAAGCTGTCATTGAGTTGGTTCCAACTCATAGTGACACTATAGTATGGAGCAGAAACGGCCTATAGGGTTTCTAAAGCTGCCATCTTTCTGGAAGTAGACTTACACATCTTTCTCCCACAGAGTGGCTGGTGGGTCTGAACCATGAACCTCTCAGTTAGCAGCCGGGCACTCTATCACTGTGCCACCAAAGCTACATACATATTCCAAAAAGTCTAAATCCACTGCCATCGAAGTGAGTGACTCACAGCAACTCTACAGGACAGATAGAGCTGCCCCAGAGGGTTTCCAAGGCTACAAATCTTTAAGGAAACAAAGCCACATCTTTTTCCTGCAGAGCTGTTGGCAGTTTCGAACTGCTGACTTTTCGGTTAGCAGCCAAGCGCTTAACCACTGTGTCACCAGTATCAGGTCCCTTTATTCAGCCTCATGGTCTGGTCTCTGCAGAAATCTTGACTCTTATCTCCTCACCTCCTCCTCCCTTATCCATAAACCTCTTACAGCACTCTGCTTTCAACAAACATGCCTATGTGCAAATTCATACTTTTAATTATCAGAGGTTATTATCTGCTGATAATGTCCTGACCCAGATAAACTTCCCATGTCTCTTCTGAAGGAAACTCAGATGGCACTCTCCTTGATAAAGCTTTCTAGGATTGCCTCAGATAAGGAGTTTTACCTCGCCCTGTCCTCCCAGTATGTGGGCCTTGGAATGCTTCCACAGCTGTATTTATCAAGCTTTCCCACAATGTTATTTTACTTACTGGATTTCCCTATTAGATTCTTAGCTCCTGAAAAAGCTGGCTGTGTATCACTAGTTAGCTAAGGATTTCCAATACTCAGCTGAGTATCTGGCAAATAACAGGCACCAAACAAATGTTTGATGAAGTGATTCAGAGGGAAGCACGCCAGGACAGTACCAGTGTGTCCACTTCTCTCATTTATCAGCTATCGGACTCTGAGATGGAACCCGTGACCAGTCAACCTGCTCTCAGATCTGTCACTGGACTGCGTGATGACAATGGGGACATCTCAGTGATCAGCAGACAGGGTCAGCAGTTTTAAAGGTGGATGCTTTGAGGTTTTCTTTTGGAATGTTTATATATTTGGTGTAACAGAGACATAATTAATGACAAAAAGCAGGACTTTGTTTTCTTCTTACATAGTGTAACATTCCCAACTACATACTAAACAAATGATTCACGTATGTCCGAGAGGAAAAAATTTCCTTCTGCTCCTTAAAACCTAGACATTTAGTCTAGGTAATGACACTGAGACATCAAGCCAACAAATCCTAGCAAGTAACTACCTGCCAGCATGTACAAGTGGGCGGCCACCTGTGTCAGCACTAAAGACGGCAAGGCTGCTTTATCCTATCATGGTCAACACATATGTTAGCATTTAAATTAGCACCTACTGCGGTTCCCCATAACAGCAAGCATTCCTAAAACAGGCAGATAATTTTTGAAATGATCACTTGTGATAAATGTGGTCAGGGTCAAAACATGCCTATTTGAAGCCTGAAGCACTATAAATCCACCCCCCCACCCCACCCCACCCCCGTTATAGAGAATGGCATCAGATAAAATGTTTATTTAAAGCTCTGTAACACTCAGGAAACCTTCTATAATTCTAAAGAGTTCTTCAGACATTACCTACAGTGCCCATCTGCTCAACCATTTGCTGCAGGCTCAGTGGGAAAGGGAACAGTCCCCTGACCCCTCTCGACCACTACCGACCAGCACTGCTGGGAAGCCCAGCAGGCAGACCACACAGCTGCTGAGGAAATACACACCCTTGGTGGGGCCTGGTAGGTCAATGCAACAAGTCCACACAAAGGAGAACA